GCAAAGTGTGTGGGATGTTTGATTAGTATACAGAGACTTCTCTGAGACAAATTCTGAGTCAGAAACTGCACCACTAAAATATCATTCATCTAAATCCTAAGATGAGTATGATAAGCAAAGCCAAGCACATTCCACTAACAAATGTCTCCTCCTTGTCCCCAAGTTACCTCTCTGTAGACAGTGTCCCTTTTACCTTCCTGATTTGTCTACTTTTGTCCCTCCACCTCTCTCTTCCCTTTGTTCAAATGCCCATTCAACATCCCAACAACTTTAACCCCCCAAATACCAGTGCCCACCAGGAGCCTTCCCTTCCCCCATGAGTGAGGTACACAGGCAACTGTAAGACGCTGGAAATGATCTGAAATAAATGCTGTTTTTCAAATAATTTCAGACATCCTTACACCAAATAGAGGTGCACAAATATTCATGAAAGAATTCTTTCAGCCACACACGGCCAGTTTGTTATGAGTCATTCTGAGCTTTGGGTGCTAAAAGGCAGTCGGACTAGCCAGGAAGAGAGCATGGGATAATACTTCTACTGCAGTGAGGGCAGTGGCCAGGAGTGGACTCCCAAAGATGTCAAAAGCATGGCCCCCTAAGAGCCATGATTTCTAGTTAAATTTTATGGAAGCCTTTATTCACCCACTCATTCACCCATGCAAAGACACACACACACCACATACAACACAGGCACACACACAAACACATGCACACAACACACACATACATACACTGCACACAGATAAACACACATACATACTACACACACATACACACCACACACACCACACACACATACGTGCACACACACAACACACACATATACACATACACACCACACACACATGCACACACACTATGCATACCACATACACAATACACACACACATATATACACACACCCCACACACATACATGCACACACACACACACACACACACACACACACACTTTGCCCATCATTCTGGAGAGAAAGCACTCATACAACATTAACTAACCCTCCAGTGGTGTTAAACTTGAAGCTGGAGAGCAAGTTCAGAAGCAAAAATCAGGAGGAAGAAAAGGGTCCTTTAATCAAATCTCTGCCCCAGCACAGCATCTGGATGGAACTTCAAAAAAGAAAAAAGAAAAAGAAAAAGTGAGTCGCAACCTATAGTGATCCAGTTGCCTATGGATCACAGCTGGTGACCCACTCCACAACATGCTGTGTCCTGAGGAAGGCACTCCGCTCACCTAAACAGAGAAGCAGTGGGGGAAAGGGCACGGTTTCCCTCTGTTTAGACCAAGTGGGAAACTCCAGAGAAGGAAATCTACTTAAAACCCTGCCATCCCTTAAACACTCAAGGCGAATCGGAGACAAACACAACCATCCCCAATGCTAGCACCCACTACTCTGTAGCAAGCCCGGCCGTTTTCACTTTGCCTCTACCACAGAGTACACCAGCCACAAGGGCGATAGGGACAGGAAACGTCCTGTGGGCGTCTCGTCTCCCAGGCCTTACCTCAAGCCTTAAGCTGACAGAACAGCATTTTATCAGGCTGCTATCCCACCACCCCAGCACACTGAGTGGGAGGAGAGTGTTTTGCATTTGAGGCTGGACTGTCAAATGCATACCAGAGGGACCACTCCGTGCAGCTCCAGGGAATGTCCCCACTCAAAGTCAGCCGGGACCTGCTGGGTCGATTTCACTGGTGTGCACAAAACTCGAATTGATCCTATGAGCCATTATGAATTATCCCCTAGTATTCCTTAAAGCTAAAAGCCCCTGTTCCAGGGCCTTCTCCGTTTCTCTTATCTTGTGTAAGACCCTGGCCCCACGGAGTAAGACCCTGAAGGATAGAGGGTGTGGGTGTGCTCAGGACCTCGGGGCCATCACCAAAATCACTACACTGTGCTTCAGAGCAGATCTCAGCCCACATAGCATCTTGTGGTTGGTTCCTTGCCAAGGCACCGGCTTTACATGGTGGATTTTTTTCCTCTAGACCAGCCAGTCCTTTCAGCCTTCCCCTGGGAGGACAGCTGCCCTCACGGAAGGTGTACCCCAGCAGTTACTGATGCCAGGTGTACCCCAGCAGTCACTAATGCCAGGTGTACCCCAGCAGTCACTGATGCCAGGTGTACCCCAGCAGTCACTGATGATGCCAGGTGTACCCCAGCAGTCACTGATGTCAGATGTACCCCAGCAGTCACTGATGCCAGGTGTACCCCAGCAGTCACTGATGATGCCAGGTGTACCCCAGCAGTCAGGTGTACCCCAGCAGTCACTAATGCCAGGTGTACCCCAGCAGTCACTGATGCCAGGTGTACCCCAGCAGTCACTGATGCCAGATGTACCCCAGCAGTCACTGATGCCAGGTGTACCCCAGCAGTCACTGATGCCAGGTGTACCCCAGCAGTCACTGATGATGCCAGGTGTACCCCAGCAGTCACTGATGATGCCAGGTGTACCCCAGCAGTCACTGATGCCAGGTGTACCCCAGCAGTCACTGATGCCAGGTGTACCCCAGCAGTCACTGATGATGCCAGGTGTACCCCAGCAGTCACTAATGCCAGGTGTACCCCAGCACTTACTGATGGCAGGTGTACCCCAGCAGTTACTAATGTCCTCTGCTTTTCACGGGTCCTCAGCAGGCTGTAAGAGATCTAAACTTCCCCAGTGTTTTCAGTTTGAATACTATGTGTGTGTGACCTTCATTAGGAGAACAAGGAGCCTTTAAAATGGATGCCGGATACTCGTCCCTTGTCTCAGTACAATGAGGACATAAAGTTTTCTGAGATAAATTACTAAAGTTAGTGATTCAGCACATGGTCCATCCAAAGAGAAGAGCAGATTCTAGTGAGACTGACAGCCACTAAAATATCACATACCTCTCTCAAGGACAGTTGAGGGCATTTCCAGTTACCTGGGTATTGCAGGCACGGTTGCCAGTTATTTTGTTTTTTGTGGACTAAACATTAAATTTTTTTATTTTGATATTTTTCATTGAAATGGGATTACATCACTTTCCACCTCCCCTTTTAAACTCTAGCTTCTCCTCGCTATGCTTCTCCTCGCTATGCTCGCCCTAGCCCACTTCCCCTCCACTCTCAAGTCAACAATGCCTTTATCATTGTTATATGTGTGTGTATGTATGTATGCATATGTATGTGTGTGTGCATGTGCACATGTATATATGTGCCAGATACATAAATAGCACACACAGAATCTGTTCCTGTTGTTTGTGTGCTATGGTTTTAGGGCTGACTACTCTACTATGGATAATCAACAATGGAGCTGACTCATCCCTGCAGAGGCTCACTGACAGTCAACAATTTCCCATCATTCTTTGTCTAAGGGTAGGGACCTCCTCATGACTTCCCCTCCACCTTAGTATGTCCATCGGTATTGCTGTTGTTCCAGCCTTGTTTGTGCAGCCATTTCTAAGAAAGACCGTTTCGCAGCAGAGATCCCATGTCCTGGATCTTTGCTCCCTCTCTTACTCAGCGTTCACTGAGCCGTAGATGCAGGAGCTCTGATACAGATGTACCCACTGGGGCTGGATGCCCCATGAGCCACTGCTGTGGAATAACCCTCTTGTTCACTGTGAAGATTTGTTACTCGAACTGGTTTAATAAAATGCTGATTGGCCAGTGGCCAGGCAGGAAGTATAGGCGGGATGACCAAACTAAGGATAATGAGAGGGAGAAGGGCATAGTCAGGAGTGGCCAACCAGGTACATGCAATGTTAATAAAAGTACCACTATGTGGCAGAGTGTAATTAAGGAATGCAGGTTAACTTAAAATGTAAGAGCTGTTAGTAATACTAAGCCTGAGCTGTTGACCAAGCATTTCTAATTCATATTCAGCCTGAGTCAGTTGTTTGGGACCAGATGATTGGGACAAAAGAAATGATCTGTCTCCATTTACAAGCTACTGATCTCTGCATTGTGTTCAGAAAGGAACATGGGAAAATAATGACAGACACAAAGGACTTCTTTAAAAACCCGTGCTTCATTAAGTTGGAAAAAATCTGTTAACCTGGATCATCTCCTTTATTTTGGGTCATTGGGCCAAGGGTCTATAAATTTTGTTTGTCTTCTCAGAAAACCAGCTCTTGGATTTATTGATTATTTATATTGTTTTTATTTCATTAATTTCTGCTTTTGTTTTTATCATTTCTTGTCTACTGGCTTTGGGTTTGGTTTGTGCCTCAGTTAGGGTTTCTATTGATGTGAAGAGATACCCTAATCACTGCAACTCTTATAAAGGACAACATTTCATTGGGGCTGGCATACAGTTGAGAGGCTTAGTCCATTGTCATGGTAGCATGCAAGCAGACATGGTCCTGGAGCCGAGAGTCCTTAGTCTTGATAGGCAGGCAACAGGAAGAGACTGAATCACACTAAGCCTCGCTTAAGCTTCTGAAACCTCAAAGCCTGCCCACAATGACATACTTCCTACAACAAGCCACACCTATTCCAACAAGGCCACACCTTCTAATAGTGCCACTCCCTACGGGCCTATGGGGGCCATTTTCATTCAAGTCACCACAGTTTGTTATCTTTTCTTAATTCTTAACTTGCATCATTGTCCCTTATTTGTAACTGTTCTTATTTTTTTAACAGGAGACACTCTAGACTTTAAATTTCTCTCTTAGAACTGCGCTTAATGTGTCCCAGAGGTTCTGTTGCGTTGCATTTTCATTTTATTTCCTTCTTGATTCTTTTTTCTTTGACCCATTTATCATTCACTAATGAGCCGTTTCATCTCCATGAGTTCATACTCTTACTAGCATTCTGCTTGCTGTCAGCTTTAATGCTAATGGCCAGACAGGATACATGAGAGTATTTCAATTTCTCTATGTTTGTTTAGTTTTGCTTTGTGTCCCAGCATGTAGTCTACAGAGAAGCTTCCACACACCACTGAGGAGAATGTATGCTCTTTGGTGTTTGGGTGGGAGATTCTACACGCAAAATCCAAAGGTTGACACAAATTAGATAAAAGCAATCCAGAACCTACCTGGGTGGAGTACACATGGATTTGCTGAAGGGCTTGTCTCAGGCTCTGCTGCTGCTTGGCCCAGCACCTCCTTCGTTGGCCCTGCTTCCCAGCGAAACTGCTTGTAGGCCAGTAGCACACCGCTGCTCTTTCTTGCTAATACCCTCTGTATTGGCCACAGAAGGGTTCTGGGTGTCCCAGACTTGGGAGTCCACCTGAGAGGCTGGGAAAGGAAATTACATTTTGGAATCAGTAGAATGGGTGGCTAGGAGGAGGAGAGGAGCTGCTGGTGAGTCTGGGATTAGGCGAATGGGGGGGGGCAAATGAAATAGAAGGATGGGATAATATATTGGAATTCTTTTATGAAAGGGGCGGGGTTAGATGTATAAGAACCCAGTTTTCTCTCTGCCTGAGAGGGTTCTGATAGTGGGAAGGAGCGGCTGTCTGCTGGGGTCCAGAGAAGTAGTGGGAGGTGCCTCTGGTTCAGATGGCAGAGCTAGGAGCATGTGAGCATGTGAGCATGAGAGCATGTGAGCATGTGAGCGTGTGAGCGTGTGAGCGTGTGAGCGTGTGAGCGTGTGAGCGTGTGAGCATGTGAGCGTGTGAGCATGTGAGCGTGTGAGCGAGGAGCATGTGAGCATGTGAGCATGTGAGCGTGTGAGCATATGAGCATGTGAGCATGTGAGCGAGGAGCATGTGAGCATGTGAGCGAGGAGCATGTGAGCATGTGAGCGAGGAGCATGTGAGCATGTGAGCGAGGAGCATGTGAGCATGTGTGAGGTGACCCAGGCAGTTGGAAAATGGGCAGTTGCAGATGACCCCGATGTAGGATCCTGGCGCCTCCAGTGCTCGGAGAGCCTATTAAGTCTTGGCACCAATGTTATTCACTGTGAGAAAAGAGGCCACAAGATATACAACAAAATCCACTTTAGAGTTTTATTAGTTAAGAGTGGGGGGCATGTGCACACACCTGTCTGGAAGAAATGTGGCAAGAGAGAGCAAGTGGGTGGGGTGTACCTGCTTTTAAAGGTCACTTCGCGCATGCGTATGGGGGCTTACATAGCCATGGCACACATACGCAAGGATTACGTGGTCACGTTGCACAAGGCCCTGGGATGACTTGGCATTTTGCCTGAATGCTGATGGCGCATGCTCCGCCAACCCCGGAAATAATAACACCATTGCCCCATTGCCGTTCAGTTGCAGGAACCTACCCGGTACATTATCCAAGCTCGGTACCCACTCTCACTCCAGAGCCTTAGGGAATTTAAACCTATCGTCTCTGACCTTCTAAGAAAACAGCTACTTCAACCCACCCCTTCTCCTTCCAACACCTCTATACCTGCAGTTAAAAACCTAATGGAACTTACCGCCTGGTTCACTAATTCCCCAGTGGTCCCCTCCATCCTGTGTGCCTAAACCTACACCCTTCATTCCACCATCAGGAACCTCCCATTCCTCAGTTCTGGATCTGGAGGATGCTTTCTTCCCTATCCCTCTCAGCATCCAGTCTCAAAATACCTTCGCTTTCCCCTGGACTGACACTGACACTCACCTCTCCACACAGCTCCCTTGGACTGTTCGACCCTAGGGGTTCGGTGACAGCCCACACCTAATGTGGCCAGGTTCTAGCTTCTGACTTATTCTCTTTGTGTCTCTCTAAATCTAAACTGATACAGCGTGTAGATGATATTTTACTTCATAGCCCATCTTTAAAAATTAGCCAAATTAACACCTCTGTTCCTCTAAACTGCTTGTCCAGTCAGGGATATAGTCTCACCTCCCAAGGTTCAACTGTCCACTCCTCAGGTCACTTACTTGGGTCTAACAATTACCCCCAACCCACAGGGCCATTACTTTTAGATAGAAAGGAGCTAGTCCAGTCTCTTGCAGTCCCCTCTTCTATAGAGGAGATTTTTATCGTTCCGAGGAATAGCTTGCCTCTTACATTCCAGGTTCCCCTCTTTTTCTCTCCTTGCTCACCCCTTTTACGAGGCAGCTCCTGGCTCTCCACGGGAACTTCTATTTAATCCTGTTACTGAGTCCCTTCAGGAGCTCGCTGGTCCCCAGGCCCCAGCTCTTCGTCTTCCAGACCTAACTCGTCCCTTCTCCCTCTATGTAACAGACGAGGAGGGACGAGGGGCGTGCCCTTGGAGTCCTAGGCCACCAGCTGGGACCTTCCTTTACACCTGTAGCATTATCTTTCCAAAAAAAAAAAAAAAGCAAAAGCTAGATGGTCCCACGCAGGGATGGGCACCCTGCAAACCTGCGTTGGCAGCTGCTGAGCTCCTCATTCGAGCATCAGAGAAACTGACCTTAGGTCCCCCAACACCGTCTTCTGCCACCACACCCTGTCCCATCTCTTAACTTATAGAGGCTTGCAAACCCTACCTCCTTCCCTAGTTCTTTCTCTCCAGGTGGCACTGGTGGAAAATGCCACCCTTACTTTCCAGTCCTGCCCACCCCTCGATATCACAAACCTCCTCCCTCAGCCCAACACTAACTACTCTCCATCTCATTCCTGCATTGAAACCTTAGAGGAACTATATGCCGCATCCTTCACACACACAGGAAGGAGGGCACAGTACCTCAGGCCACCTATGCATGGTACACAGAGGGCAGTTCTGTTTTACATTGGGGGGACCCGCAGAGCAGGCTATGGCAGTGTCAGATACCAGGGTGCTGGAGTAACTCCCCACCCACACTACTAACCAGCAGGCTGAACTAATAGCTCTCACCCGTGCCTATCAGTGAGCACAGACTCCAAATATCCTCCTGTCCCATGTTGCTATCAGGAAACAGCGCAGGCTACTCACTACAAAAGGAGGATACACAACTAATACTCAGGTCAAATTATTGCCATAGTAAAGGCCTCCCACCTCCCCAAAGCTTTAGGGATTACTCACGGCCGGTCTCAGCAGACCAACAGCTCCATTATCTCTAAGGGAATAAACCTGACTGAGGAGGCAGCTGCAGCCCTCAGAGACCCAGACTCAGCTCGCCCACCACAGGGAATCCACACAGCACAGACTGCATCCTCACAGTTAGCCCTGACACTCGACACGTCCTGTCTACACCATCTCTTCCATCCTAACAGGCAGGCTCTGTTGCATTCTGTTAGTCTCACCTCCAGCCCACCCCTGAGGACTCACAGTTCTTACAAACTACCACTGCCTCTCGTAAAATCCGCCAAAAGTCAGACCCCAATTCCAAATATCGTAGCTTCCCTTTTTCTACCCACCAGGCCAGGGGATCCCTCCCGGGAACTGACTGGCAACTTGATTTTAGTCACATGCCCACACTCAGACGGGTTAAGTATCTCCTGGTTCTAGAAGTCACTTTTTCCAGGTGGGCTGAAGCTCTTCCAATAACTATAACAAAAGGACTCAGATAGCTTCTGACCTCCTCTGGGAGATTACTCCCCGATTTGGAATCTCTCCAGTCTGCAAACAGCCCTAAATTCACCTCCCAGATTTCCCAGACATATCTAAAGCTCTCAGCATCCCTAGGCATTTTCATATCCCGTACCACCCCCAGTCCTGAGGAAAGAGAGAATGAACTAACCGTTCCCTAAACATATTCTTGATAAAGTGTCACAGGAACTTTACCTTGACTGGGTAAAACTCATTCAGGCTCAGGACTCTCCCCAAACGAGCCCTTTCCATCTTACCCTTTGAACTCACGTATGGGCGGCCGGTTCTAACACCTGCTCTCACCTAATACTCCCCATTCCCCAATCACCTGCTTACACCCTAACTCCACCATCTCTGTTCCCTCCCATGGAACTTTACCGACAGCTCCCTACCTCGACCATGTACCAGTCCTTGTCCATCTCCAGTTAACATCGGGGACCAGGTCCTTCTCTCTCCTCCAGACCAACTCTCCTCACCCTTTCCCCCTAAATGGCAGGGCCCTTCAAGGAAATTTTTGTAACTCCCCCAGCTGCTAAGCTTGAGGGCCTTCCTCATTGGATTCACTTGTTTCCTCTCAAACCCTTTCCACCCCCACCTCAAGCTACTCTCTCCTCATACACAGTGACTCAAACAGGGCCCTGTTCCCTTAAGTTCCAGAGGACACCGAGATCAACTGCTCTCTCTCCAATTCCAGGAAAATGAGGTCTCACACTGAAACCCTACTCAACTCTACTGGATTGGGAACCCCATATGTTTTCTTTCTTGAACCCCTTTCCACACTCTCCTGTCTCTGCTGAACACACCCTGCTTCATCAATCTCCCCTCTGTGTCTTCAAATTTCTAACTAAGGACTCAGCTGTTGTTACAGGGACCACCATTAGGCACAGAGCCGGAGGCACGAGGACTGTCAGACATACTCAGGGCATAAGAAACAGTAGCACTCTGGAGATAGTCACACCCCGGATTTAAAGGGGTGACTCACAAAACAAATTTTAATATAATAAGTTTATTATTTATTGTCTATCTCTTAAATGTTAAGGTGATATCACCAAGATAAAAAAGAAACAGGTGCCTTAAGGTTTGTTTCAAATGGGAATTAAAAGGTTTAATTGGTAACTCCTTTCCCTCATCATGTGACTGTCCATAATTTTAACACTAACCAATACGATTCTGATAAACTCTATCAGAGTACTGAACACTACACTCCATCACTATGTTATCATAGCCACAAATCCAGGATTTTAAATTTGCTTTTCAATTTGTTGTTTTTCAATGTGTCTAAAACTTGTCTCTTAAAAGTTCTCGTAAGCTCCAGGAAACTTGAATTGGACCCACCCAAACAGGTCAGATTCACCTTTCCCTGATCCTAGGGACCCCTTCTCTCATCTTGGGACCCTCTTGGGAACCCCCCCAATCTTGGGACTCTTCTCCCTCATTACCAGAATTTAAGAAAAGTTTTCTAAACCTCATCTTCAGCCTTGCCAGCATCTTGCTGGGTCTGAGCTGTCAGGTTGAAGCATCCCCTGAAGATTCCACAGAGCTCAAACAGGGAAGACAACCCGTCACCTCCGGGACAAGCCCCCTGTTGGTGACCGACGCCCACCAAGTCAGCTTGACGCAGTTTTAAGGCTGCTTACCTGTTACCCTTAACCCCTCAGTTTTTATAATAAAGAAAAGTTTGGAATGTTGCCATTTCTGGGGTCCCAAGGCCACCCACGCGGCCATCAGCATTCAGGCAAAATGTTCAGTCACCCCAAGTGTTAGCACTTTTGGGGTTGGCTGAGCACGCACCATCAACACTTGGGCAAAATGCCTAGTCATCCCAGGGCCTTATGCTCTTGTGCAGTGGGACCACGTAATCCATGCATATGCGTGGCACGGCTACGTAAGCCCCCCCATATGCATGAGCTAAGTGACCTTTAAAAGAAGATACGCCCATCCCACTTCCTCTCTCTCATGCCAGGTTCCTTCCAGGCAGGTCTGTACACAGACCACACACACATACACACCCCTCCCTACTCTGTACTAATAAAACTCATAAGTGGGTTTGTTGTGTATCTTGTGGTCTGTTCTCGTGCACAGTAAATGACACTCTGGCCCTCAGACTGAGGATGGTCATGGACAGCCATGTGCACCTAACTGGGGTGCGGTCTCACAGGGCTTTACTTGCCCCAGGAACTAGAGATGGGGTTGCACATCCTTCCCACCCCCTTCCCTGGAATGATATTCCTCCTTTTGACAGACAACAGTCTCTGGAGAGTCAGCAGGGGCTGATCCCTCCAGACCCTCCTGAGGGGGACTACGCCTGAGAGAATGGAGACCACCTGGTATCTGGGACAGCCCTGTCACTCCCAGACTGCAATGCTCTTCTGCCTGTGTCTTCTTGGGGGCTTCTGTTGCATCCCCTGGTCTATTCTATTGCAGGTAACCTACGGTTTTGCTTTCTTTTTTTTCCCTTATACATCTCTGTGTGATGGGGAAGTCCTGTGTATATGTCAATAAAACACTGTTGGCCAATAGGGAAGCAAGATAGGTTGAACTAGGAGTTGAGGTGGATTCTGGGAAAGAGAGACACAGGCAGACACAATGTAGCCCGCCAGAGGAGTAAGAGGTCTGGACCCTTTTCTCTGGTAAGAGAAATACTTAGATTAACAATTATGGGTTAGCCCGGCCTTGGTGGCACACGCCTTTAATCCCAGCACTTGGGAGGCAGAGGCAAGTGGATCTCTGTGAGTTCGAGGCCAGCCTGGTCTACAAGAGCTAGTTCTAGGACAGCCTCCAAAGCCACAGAGAAACCATGTCTCGAAAAACCAAAAAAAAAACAAAAAACAAAAAACAATTATGGGTTAAATACATAAGTCAGAGCTAGCCAGTAAGAAACAAGCAGACGGCCAACAGCTTCATAATTAATATAGCGTCCTGTGTGTTATTTGGGGACTGCAACTGTGGCAGGGCCCAGGCAGATGGCTGGGAAGGCTACACTCTACACCTGTGTCTCTTTAATGACCGAAACTGTGTGCCGCTAGGAGACAGTGACATATAAGAAATCCCCACACAATTTCGTGTTCCAGGAAGGCGCTCAGCACTGAGCCTACCTTCTCCACACCATTAAATAAAGTCACTGCCCATTCTTCCATGACACTGTGCTTGCCAGCGATGAGGCAGGGTGAAGATCTTTCCTCTCTTGTCTGAGTCTGCCACTAAAGCCGGATCCATGACCCCTTTCCCCTTCCAGATGCCTGCCTTATTAGTGAATGCCTCTGGTCAGGACTGCTTGTCTCTCTGAGACAGAGGAGATCAGCACTCCCAATGCAGTTGTTTAAGTCTCCCCCATCCCTCCCCCTCACAAAATGGGCCCATTTGTAAGCCCCTCCCCCACAAAACAGGCCAGCTTCTCTAGAAACATCCTAGGTAAGACCACTGCTCCGAGAGACACCCTGTTTTCCAAACTTCAGGTGTTCCACTTTGAGCAAGAGTCTAAATGTAATTATCCGCCTAACCGATGCGTTCTGTTGGCACCAGATTGTACATCGCTTGCTTTGTGGCCTCACTTATCTACATATTTGTGAGAAACATTTCCTTCTCTTTTCTGTTTGTTCATTTTTTTTCTTTTTCCTTGCTGTAGATAGGGGCATGGTGTTGCAGGGGCATGGTGTTGCTTTCTGGACTATGCATTTTAAATCTTGACAGCTTCAAACACACCTACATAATCATTTTTGGTAACATGATTGTAACATTTAAGGTTTTTAAATCTATTGATAATCACCTGGCCTCATCATCGGCCAGTGGGGGCCTCTTTGAGTTGGCGTCATATCTTCCTCATCATCTCATAGCTCCGTTGCCCCCCATTCAACAGGATGTACCATTCTCCTTTTGCTCCTTGGATAACGAGGTGAGCAGCTTTGCTGAGCCACACCCTCCTTCCATGACATATTGCCTCACCTGACAGGCCAATTAGCCACTGACCAGAAACTTTGATGCCACGAGCCAAAATCAACTTTCTTTGCGACGTATTTCCCACATATTGTGGTAACTGTAGCTACCTGACCACTACACTCTACCCAGCCTGGCTGTCTGAGATGGTTACAGAATATAGGTAAAGTGTTCCCTTGGCGTCCACATACCCTCCTCCCCACCAGACCCACAGGCAAGTGAAGATATCACAGACTAAATTTGTTTGAAGCAAAGGACACTTGCAATAGCGTTGGTGCTTTGAGATGAGGAAATGTGTGCGGTTGGTCCCTCTCACCTGACACACACGATATGACTGTCCTCCTCTGGACATGACAGGGTATGTCTTATAAATTCTGTTACTCGCCCTCCCTCTCAATAAAGGTGAAGTGGCCAATATAGGAAGCTGTCCCTTTGAGAAGCAGTCATCCCCTGCTCTGCCTCCTCCTCCTGCTGGTGGGTCCCCCGAGAGCCCCCAGCTCCCCTTGGAAACAGTCTGAAGTGGGCAATGGCACCTACATACAAGGAAGTTTTTATTTTAATGTCTATTGACGTATCATCAAAGAACCAAATAAAATCATTTTATTTGGCAATACTTTCTTAAGGCAGCTACTATTTGTGGGGAACACTTAAGTGTCAAGAATGAGTGACAGCCCCAACCACATCCCCAGTGTGCCCGCATAAGAAATAGACGCGCTGCTGCCTGAGTGCTATAAAGAATTTTTATGGAGCTCTAAATTTGGTTGGTGTATAGTAAACCGGGCACTGGAGACAAATTTCTGAGATTGTGTATATATCAATATAATAGACAGTCCAATCTATTTCCAGGGTAATCGTTGCATATATCTTAAAGATACATTTTTATTAAAAATGAGATTTATTCTAGATGAGCAACTTTATAAAGTTGCTGCCCAACAGTGTGGCATCAACTTTTGGGGGAGTAGCATTCATAGTCACCACTATAGACTAATGTCTTCAGTTTGCTATTGCTTGGGGTACAAGTCCACCCTAAAGCCCCCAGAGTCTTATATTATTACCTTCTCTTTTTAATATACACTTAGGTGCCCTTTAAAACAATGACACATGGAGACAGCTCTAATGATGCCTTAGGTTTGATCCCTTATCACCCCTATTCACCATGGACAAACATGGTTTATGTGCTGTGAAGACAGAACCCCCCGCCCCACCCTGCTTTTGTTTTAAACCCTGAAGTGAATGAAGGGCATGCTTTCTGTTTCCAACATTTATTCCTGTGTCCATTGGCACGGGCTCCCTGAGATTTTGTTCCATGGAATTTATCCCTCCATCCCCCAGGCCTGACACCAGTGGGGTGCCCTGATCCTCTTGTAACATCATAGGGATCATAAGAGATTAACCAAATTAAAGGCCATGTTATTAGTTTGTGCTTTTGCTAAGTTTTTTTTCCTACCAGTTCCCTCAAGTTCCAAAGCAGTTCTCCTCCACTTGGACGAGGCCCCCGGATCTCCCCATCTGCAGCAAGCACTGCTGGTGTTGGACCGCTCACCTGGGCATGCCACA